ACACACCTCAAACCATCTCAGTGTCCGCAATTACGCTCCATCGACCGCATTTCTTTATTAACAACCTCACTTCCTGTTGTGTCTGTTGGAAGGCTGAATACCTCATCCTCTGAATTACAAATCCGGTTCCCCACCCCCTGCCAATCTAGTTTAAACCATCCCTCACACAATTAAACAATTTTCCTCACACAAAACCAAGCTGACTGTCCTTCATCAGTCCTTACCTCTCCAAATGCATATAAATCCTATCTTTCAGAATCATTTCCGACAACTTACCAATTACTGAAGTCAGACTCATAGGTCTAAGGTTTCTAAGCTTCTCCTTACAGCCATTCTTAAACAACACAATATTACCCACACTCCAGTACTTTAACTGTGTTTATAAGTGATGCAAATGTTTCTGTGAGGAGCCCTGCAATTTCCTCTCTAACTTCCTACGATATCCTGGAATATATTTGATCAGGTCCTGGCAATTTATCATAGATCATAGAATCCCTACAGTGTGGAAACAGGTCCTTCAGCCCAACAAGTCCACACTGACCCATCCCCCTATAAACCACCTAATCTCCACATCCCTGAACACTACGGGCAATTTCCCATGGCCAATCCACCTAACCTGCACAGCTTTGGACTGTGGGAGGAAACCGGAGCACCCAGAGGAAACCCACACAGACACAGGGAGAATGTGCAAACTCCACACAGACAGTTGTCTGAGGGTAGAATCGAACCTGGGTCCCTGGCACTGTGAGGCAGCAGTGCTAACTACTGTGCTGCCCTATTTACCTTGATGTTTTCTAAGACTTCCAGTGCTTCATCTTCTGGAATGTGAACTGTTTCCAAAACATTGATACTTATTTCCCTGAGTTCACTACCCACCATTTCTTTCTCAACAGTAAAATCTGACACAAAATATTAATTTAATATCGCCTGCTAGAATTTTATCAGATTTCTATCAGATCTCCTCCTGATTCTTCTAAACTCCAGTGAATATATTCCTAATCTATCAAGTCTCCCTACATTCATCAGTACTGCTATCCCAGGAGTCAGTCTGGTAAACCTTCGCTGCACTCCCTCTGTAGCCTGAACATCCTCCCTCAGATAAGGGGACCCAAACTGCACACACAATAGTCCACAGTGTGGGCTCACCCTGTACAACTGCAGCAAGACTTTTATTTTTATTCACTCATGGGACATGGGCATCGCTGGGTGGCTAACACCTTATTGTCTGTCCCTAATTCCCCCTTGAGAAGGTGGTGGTGAGCTACCTTCTTGAACTGCTGCAGTCCATGTGCTGTAGATAGACCCACAACGTCCTTAGGGAGGGTATTCCAGGATTGTGACCCAGTGACACTGAAGGAACGGCGATATATTTCCCAAGTCAGGATGGTGAGTGGCTCAGAGGGGAACTTGCAGGAGATGGTGTTCCCATGTATCTGCTGCCATTGTCCTTCTAGATGGAAGTGGGCATGTGTTTGGAAGGTGCTGTTTGAGGATCTTTGGTGAATTTCTGCAGTGCATCTTGTAGATGGTACACACTGCTGCTACTGAGCGTCGCTGGTGGAGGGAGTGGATGCTTGTGGATGTGGTGCCAATCAAGCGGGCAGCATTGTTTTGGATGGTGTCAAATTTCTTGAGTGTTGTTGGAGCTGCTCTCATCCAGGCAAGTGGGGAGTATTCCATCACACTCCTGACTTGTGCTTTGTAGATGATAGACAGGCTTTGGGGAGTCAGGAGGGGAGTTACTCACTGCAGTATTCCCAGCCTATGACTTGCTCTGTAGTCTGGGTTTTTATATGGCGAGTCCAGTTGAGTTCTGGTCAATGCTAAACCCCAGGATGTTGACACTGGGGATTCACTGGTTAGATAGTCTGTTATGGGTGATGATCATTGCCTGGCGATAGAGTGGTACATATGTTACTTGTCACTTGCCAACCCAAGCCTGGTATTGTCCAGATCTTGCTGCATTTGAACATGGACTGCTTCAGTATCTGAGGAATCATGAATGGTGCTGAACAATGTGCAATCATTGGTGAACATCCCCACTTCTGACCTTATGATGGAGGGAAGGTCATTGATGAAGCAGCTCTGCTCCTGTCCTTGAATCTCCATCACTGGGAGAATACTGACAAATGCAGCTTAGACACACGTGGCATCATCAAAACATTTACCAGCACTAACTAGACAAAGGAATGACCAACCTGACACTGTGATGTTTAGGTTGTTTGAAACCAACTTTCTATAGTCAATTCTTAATTCACATCGATAAGATGCTTGGTCTGCGTACTGTGCCCTTTCTATGGTGAATGAACCATCTTCAGTTCCTTTCACTAATACATTATTCCGGTAAAATTGGAAATGCTTAGGTCCTTTCAAGTACAGGGATGGGGTCGAGCAGGTCATTACAATCTTCTCATCTCTCAGAGCATGTTGTGGCTTGGCTTCAAGAGTTAGAACTTGGTCGGAAACTGTAAAAGAAATGTGATAAGAGTTGGACGCAAAATCAGATTGGGATACAATAAACTATGGCTGATAGATCAATGGTGTAGATTGTAACAGGAGACAGGGTGTTGGCGCTGTACAGGACTTTGGTGAGATCACAGCTGGAGCATTGTGTGCAGTTCTGGTCTCCACACGATAGGGAAGGATGTGATTGTACTGGAAGGGGTTGCAGAGGAGATTCACCAGGATGTTGCCTGGGATGGAGCGGTTCAGCGATGAAGTTAGGCTGGATAAGCTCGGGTTGTTTCCTTTGGAGCAGAGACAGCTGAAAGGCAGACTGGATAGAGGCATGTAAGATTATGAGGAGTATGGACAGGGTGGATAGGAAGCACTGTTCTCCTTAGTCGAAGGGTCAATAATGAGGAGGGCATCATTTTTTTTAGTGAAAGGCAGGAGGTTGAGAGGGGATTTCAGGACTTTTCACTCAGAGGGTGTTGGGCATGAATGACCAGCCTCAACTGCCTTCTGCGGAAAAGAATTCCACACATTCACTCCCCTTGAAGAGAAGAAATTCCTGCTTATCTCCATCGTCATTGGGTGACCTCCCCTTATTCTGAGATATTGCCATTCTGGAACTAGACTCTCCCACACAAGGGGGAGCAACCTCTCTTTACGTGTCCCCAGTCAGGTACATCTGAAAATCTTCAATAAGTTCGCCTCCAATGAGGACAGGCTCAACCTACTCACCTTTCCCCATGAGAAATTACTAACTCCCGATTCAGGCACATAACCTTACATAAGTTATTGACCAAACAAACATGAAGCTTCAGCGGTGAATCATGTTGAGATGTGCATTTGGCTGAAAATTGGCTTGGAGGTCAAGAAAATATTGTGTACAGTTCTGATCGCCACAGTACCAGAAGGACGTGGATGCTTTGTAGAGGATACAGAAGCAGTTTACCAAGATGTTTCCTGGTGTGGAGGGCATTATCTATGAGGAGAGATTATACAAACTCAGTTTGTTTTCACTTCAACATCAAAGGATGAGGAGCGACCTGATGGGAGTTTACAAAATTATGAGAGGCATGGATAGAACGGATAGTCAGAGTCCTTTATTTTCCAGGGAAGTAGTGTCAATGACTAGGGGACGTAGGTCTAAGATAAAAGGGTGGAAAGTTTAAAGGAGATGTGAGAGGCAAGCTTTTTTACACAGAAGGTGGTAAGTACCTGGAATGTGCTGCCAGAGGACATGGTGGAGTCAGATACAATAGCAACGTTTAACGGTCATCTTGAAAGATGTATGGATAGGCAGGGGATAGAGGGATATGGCCAACCTACAGGCTAAACAGTTTCAGTTTAGAAAGGCATCATGTGTTGGCACAATCCTAGGTGGGCCGATGGGCCTGTTCCTGTGCTGTAGTTTTTTGTTCTTTGAACACAGTGCACTCCACTTCCATGTAAAGTTTCTGATATAAATGAGCGTCAAAAGTTCATCTACCAGTGATGACATCTTCAACAGTTTCACTCTCTCGCCTTGTGTTGTATATCTTACAGTGAAAAGACCCACCAGTTTCACTGTTCGCCAGTACTTCATAAACATTACTCCTTGTATAATGGAGAAAGTTTCCATTTTTGTACCAAAACAGGTCGCCCTTTATTTGTCCCACATTGCAATTGTAAAGTCTCTCCTTCTTTTACAAACCCACTTGTGAGAAATACATAAAGCACAGGCCTTTCAAAAGCTGAAGGAAGAGAGAGAAGCAGGAAGGTTGAGGGACCAATCACTGCATCTTTTTGACCTCTCACTGCTATAAACATAACATGCAGTGCAATCTCAGCATCCCAGTATACAGAGCTCCAGTTCGAGTTGGTAACTGACTGAACAATACACTCAAGACAAAATGATCTGAACGTGATGAATTTTGGTGGCATCTAATCCTAGATTGTTTAATATATCATCGCTGTAACACCAACCATTGAGTCAGCTTCATCTTTTTTCAAAGGGCAATTTGCTGGAAGGCAACAGCAGATCTACTGTTCGGAAAAGTTAACTGCACTGATTATGTTTAGCCTTAATAGAGTCAGCTTGATTACAATGTGAAACCTTTTCAGCGACACTCAACACTTTTATCTAATCTCAATTCAGCCTGTGAACCTCAAAGGAGAAAACTCCCAATATTTCTTTTTCTCTGTGTTTTCCATAAGACCTCCATCACCCCAATCAAAAGTTACTCAATTTATCAGGCAATGGTCTTCCCCAAAGCAAGAGAATCTAACCTTTACATCAGTGAGACCAAGCGGAGGCTCGGAGGTCGCTTTGTAGAGCACCTCCGCTTGGTTCACAACAAACGACAACACCTCTCAGTTGCGAACCACTTCAACTCCCCCTCCCACTCCCTGGACGACATGTCCATCCTGGGTCTCCTCCAGTGTCACAACAATGCCACCCGGAAACTGGAGGAACAGCACCTCATATTCCGCCTTGGAAGCCTACAACCCAATGGTCTCAATGTGGACTTCACGAGCTTCAAAACTCCCCATCACCAACCTCATCCCAAGACCAGCGCCACCCTCTCATCCCTGCCTCCTTGACAGTCTGTCTTCTCTCCCACCTATCCACTCCTCCCTCCTCACTGACCAATCCCCACCACTACCTACCTACAATCACCTTTACTAGCTTCATCCCCAACTCCTTGACCTGTCCGTCTTCTCTCTCACCTATCCACTCCTCCCACCTCACTGACCAACCAGCTATCAGCACCCTCCCCCTCTCTATTTATTTTAGAGCCCCCTTCTCCTCCGCCATTTCTGAAGAAGGGTCCCGACCTGAAACATCAGCTTTCCTGCTCCTCTGATGCTGTCTGGCCTGCAGTGTTCCTCCAGCTCCACACTGTGTTATCTCTGACTCCAGCAATGGCAGTTCTTACTATCTCAGAATCTAACCTTTGCCACTTGATGTTCAATGGTATTACCATCACCGAATCACCCCATAATCTTCATCCTGGGGGTTACCATTGAGAGAGAATCTAACTATCACCCCTTGACATTCACTGATGTTATCATCACTGAATCCTCTCCACAATCAACCTCCTGAGGATTACCATTGAGTGGGAATCTAACCATTGCTGCCTTGATGTTCAATGGGAATACCAACACTGAATCCCCTACTGTCAACATCCTGGGGCTTACCATTGACCAGAAACTGAACTGCAGCGAGTAAATCACCTCCTGACTCCCCATAGCCTGTCCACCACTGACAAGACACAAGTCAGGACTGTAATGGAATATTCCATATTTGCCAGAATGGGTACAACTCCAACAACATTTGAGAAGCTTGACTCCAGATAGGCACCACATCCACAAGCATCCACTCCCTCCACCACCAACGCTCAGTAGCAGCAGTGTGTACTGTCTGCATGAAGCACTGCAGAAATTCACCAAAGGTCCTCAGACAGCACCTTGACCACTTCCAACTGGAGGGACCAGGGCGGTAGATACATGGGAAAACTACCCCCTGCAAGTTCCTCCTCCAAGTCACTCAGCATTCTGACTTGGAAACATATATACGCCCCTTCAGTTTTGATAGGACAGCATTTAGAAGTTCATTAGTTAAGAGCACAGTGGAGCTACCTACAGGAAATGGACTGCAGTGGTTCAAGAAAGGAACTCCATAAAAACCTTCCCATCTGGGCAACTAAGATTAGGCAACAAATGCTGGTTCAGGCAGAGATGCCCATATGCCAGGAATGCATAAAAATATCGAGTACATGTGTTGGCTGGGCCTATGAATGTCTGGTACTGTCTATGTAGAGAGAAACATGGGTAAATGCTCAGGTCATTAACCTGAAAGTTAAATGTGGTTTTCTCTCTCTTTCTAACGGGGTTATGTCTTAAGGCACATTCAGCTTGAATCAACATTGCTTCATTGTTCGATCTGAAATAATCTACCATTATAAAGTACGCCTGATGGTGCTAGCCTACTGTATCATTTATTGTCCTAGAACTTGGGTCCCAAAGAGTGGCACGGTGGTTGGCACTGTTGCCTCACAGTGCCAGGGACCTGGGTTTGGTTCCACCCTTGGTCAACTGTCTGTGTGGAGTTTGCACATTCTCCCTGTGTCTGCGTGGGCTTCCTCCAGGTTCTCCCACAGTCCAAAGATTTGCAGGTTAGGTGGATGGGGCATACCAAGTTGTCCCATAGTGTCCAGGGATGTGCTGGACTAGCTATGGGAAATGAAAGGATCGGGGGGTGGGTGGATCTGGTTGGGCTCCTGTTTAGAGTGTCCATGTGGACTCTGTCATAGAGTTATGCAGCACAGAAACAGACTCTTCAGTCTGACTCGTCTGCACCTAATCCCATTTGCCAGCATTTGGCCCACATCCCTCTAAAGGCTTCCTATCCACGTACCCATTTCAATGTCTTTTAAATGTTGTAATTGAACCCGGCTCCATCACTTCCTCTGGCAGCTCAGTCCATACATGTACCACTGTCTGTGTGAAAATGTTGCCTCATAGGTACCTTTTAAAAATTGCCCTCTCACGTTAACCCTATGCTGTCTAATTTTGGACTCACCTACTCTGGGGATAAAGGCCTTGACTATTCATCCTACCCATGCCCCTGATGATTTTGTAAACCTCTATAAGGTCACCCCTCAGCCTCCGACGCTCCAAAGAAAAAAAGCCCTAACCTATTCACCCTTCTTAATATTGTCAAAAGTATCCACAATAATCCAAGTTTTACTTGGCCCCTCTAGCCTTTTTGAGAAGCTAAGCTCTGTCTCCCAAAAGGGGAAGCAGTACAACGAGATCTGGTTGTCCGTCGTACACCAGTCGCGGATAGTGAGTGTTGCAGGAGCAGCAGGCGATGAAGAACACAAATGGGATGCTGGCCTTCATAGCAAGAGGATTTGAGTCTCGGAGCAGGGATGTCTCACTGCAATTGTCCAGGGTGAGACCACACACTGCAGTATTGTGTGTACAGTTTTTGTCTCCTTATCTGAGGAAGGATGTTTTGGTTACGAAGGGAACGCAGCGAAGGTTTACCAGGCCGATTCCTGGAAATGGCAAGACTGGCAGAGGAAGAGAGACTAGATCGGTTAGGATTATATTTATGGGAGTTTAGAGGAATGAGGTGGGAATCTCATAGGAACTTATAAAATTCGAACAGGACTAGACAGGGGCAAACACAGGAAGGATGTTTCTGAGATGGGGTAGGACTGAGATGGGGAGAAATGTCTTCACCCAGAGAGTGGGGAGCCTGTAAAATTCTCTGCCACAGAAATCGGGCCAGAATATTGAATGTTGTTCAGGAAGGAGTTTGACAGAATTCTTAGGGGCTAATGTGGTGGGTCAGGGGACTGAGTTGGATGATCAGGCATGGTCCCATTGAATGGGTGGAGCAGGCTGGAAGGGCCAAATGGCTGACTCCTATTTTGTATCTTCCCATAATTTTCTGGATCAGTGAATCCTACAGGCTCCCCACTGTATGGCTGAAGACATTTCTCCTCAACTCAGTCCTAAATGGCCTTTCCATGGTCCTCAGCTATTTATCTCTAGTTCACCAATATATGGCTGTGAGATGTGGGGATAATTTGCCTCTATCCTGAATCTTTAATGGTTAAAAAAAGGAACAATAATGAATGATACTCACGCCTGATGGACAAATGGAGCTGATTACTGCGTTTCCACACCTTACTGTCTGTAACAACGCAATGGTAAGTACCCGAATCCGCCACACGAGCTGACTCGGAGATGTAATCACTGTGGGTGGACAGAGACTGGAAAGGGACTCCATTTCTGTAAAAGCTGTACCACAAGGAAGCTTGGGAGAGATTCTCTTCAACCGAGCACACCAGTTTAACCCACTGGCCATCAAACAGTTGTCCCTCAGGACGTACGGTCAACTTAGGGACAGCGAACGCCTCTAGAAAGCAGAAGGAGATGTTTCTGTTTCAGCTTGTAGAGTTTCTGGGCTTGGGAAAGCTCAGTGATCAGACCAAGAGCAAGAAAATCCCGAGATGGAGTAAGCGCGGGAGACTTCGAACAATCATTTATTCTAGGCCCGAAACATCAGCCTTGCTGTTCCTATGATGCTGCTTGGCCTGCTGTGTTCATCCAGCCCTGCACCTTGTTGTCTCTGTTAGTATTGCGTCAGCTCAAGCTCAGATTTGGTGACAATTGCAATTGCATTTGGAATGAATACATGCAACCACAGTGAGAGTATTGTGTGCAGTTCTGGAATCCACATTATCAGAGGGATGTGACAGCATTGGGACAGGGAGCAGAGAGAGATTTACCAGGATGTTGCACTGGGGACTGGAGAGTTTCAGTGATGGAGAGAGATTGGACAGACTGGGGTTGTTTTCCTTAGAGCAGAGGGGATTGAGAGAGGGGGTCATGATTGAGATGTATAAAATGATGAGGGGCATAGATGGGGTAGACAAGAAGAAACTGTTCACCCTTAATGGAGGGATCAATGGCCGGGGTGGTGGGTGGTGAATAGATTGACGGTAAGGGGCAGGAGGTTAGCGGGCCTGTGAGGAAAAATATTTTCACTCAGAGGAACTGGAACTCACTGCTTGTAAGGATAGGAGAGGCAGAAACCCTCATCCCATTGAAGAAGTATTTAGATGTGCACTCACAATGCTCAGGCTACTGGGGCTAAGTGCTGGGGAAATAGGGATTAGAGAATAATGAGATGGCTGATTTTGGCTCGAAGGACTGTTAATTTGTGCTGTGGATTCTGCTATAATGTCAGATAGTTACGTTTAACAGAAATGTGAATGTAGTCGCTCCTCTTCCTCAGACCGTAAATCGTCTCGATCGTTTCACAGGCGTAATTCCCAGAAATGATTGCAGTCGCTGCACTGATGTTGAACACACTACCATCACTTGGCACGACCTCCAGAGCGATGCTGTCTCTGTAAAACAAGTAGCGAAGCTGGGCCAAGGGCCGTGCCATCTTGATAATGCATGTCAACACAAGCTGGAGCCCCTCGAATACTTCAGCTGCTGGCTCCACCCTCAGTACGGGCTTGGCAAAGCGTTCTGGAATGTAACACACAATCATGACTCATTAATCAACTGTTGCAATCGCAGAAGAAGAGATGCAATGGTGATGAGGGGCGAAGAATGTGAGTATTTAGAGACAAAGGATGGAGGATTGGGCAAAAATTTATCTCTCTCTTGTTTTCCAAATTTCAAATTCCGTTTTGATGCCACTAGAGGTATAGAATCAGAGTCATACAGTACAGAAACAGACCCTTCAGCCCAACTCGTCCATACTGACCAGGTTTCCCAAACTGAACTAGTCCCATTTGCCTGCGTTGGCCCATAGCCCTCTAAATCTTTCCTATTCATGTACCTGTCTGAATGTCTTTTAAATGTTGTAATTGTACTCGCCTCTACCACTTCCTCTGGCAGCTCGTTCCATTCATGCACTAGCCTCTTTGAAAAATTTGCCCCTCATGCTCCTTTTAAATCCTTCCTGTCTCACCTTAATGCCATTCCCTCTAGTTTTGGACTCCCCTACCCTGGAGAAAAGACCTTGGCTATTCACCCTATCCATGCCCCTCACAATTTTATATAACTCTGTAAGGTCACCCCTCAACCTCCGACAGTCCAGCATATTCAGCCTCTCCCAATAAAACAAACCTCTTTCAGTTTTTAGGAATCCTGGGATGGGTACAACACAAAAGCCAACTGTTTGTCCTCCTCATATCTCTGTCGGACCTTGTCCCATGGCTTCCCTCTCTCTATGAACCTGCATTCATCTCTCTCTTCAGAGAATCCGCCAGTACAAGTGGCGATCTAATTGAATGTTATCAGTCACCACCAGGATTATCGATAGGATGGTTGCCGGGGTGGGGGGCAATGCTGTCTTCACTTTAATTACACACGGCCCCACTTGGAGACCATTGGAAGTGTTGTGTATCCTGTTGGTCACCTTATTTAACAAATGAAATGAATTCATTGTGAGAGGTTCAGATTGTTTTTAATAGACTGTAAGACCATAAGACATAGGGGCAGAAGTAGGCCATTCAGCCCATTGAGTCTCTGCACTCCCATTCAATGAGATCATTGGCTGATCCAATCATCCTCAACTTCAATTTCCTGCCTTTTATTCCCCATAAGCTCCCTGATTAAAAATCTATCTCAGCCCTGAATAGACTCAACGACCCAGCCTCAACAGCCCTCTGTGGTAAAGAATCCCACAGATTCACTCCCCTCAGGGAGAAGCAATTCCTCCTCATCTCCGTCTTCAGCTGCGACCCCCTTATTCTGAGAAGATGCCCCTCTGGTTCCAGACACTCCCACATAGAGGAAATGACCTCTCTCCACATCTCTGCTGTCAAGTGCCTCTGAGAGCCTTCAATGAAGTCGCCTCTCATTCTTCAAAACTCCAATGAGGGCAGGCCCGACCTACTCAACCTCTCTCGCATCAAGCAGTCCCTCCATATTCAGGATCAGCTGAGTGGACCTTCTCAGGACCGCCTCCGAAGCCAGTCTATTTTTTCTCAGATACAGAGCTCCAAAAGTGGTCTGTCTTGTAGAATGTTAACAAAACCGCCTGACTTTCGTACCTCACTTCCTTCAACAAAAGGTTATTTGCTTTTCCTATGACCCCCTCACCTTGGACACTAGCTTTTTGTGTTTCACTGATGAGGACTCCCCAGTCCCTCTGTCCACAGCTTTCTGCAGTCTTTCTCCATTTAAATAATATTCAGCTCCTCCATTCTTCCTGCCTGGCTACAAAACCTCACATTCCCCACATTGTATTCCACCTGCCAGGTTTTCTGCCGCTCCCTTAACCCATCTGTATCCCTCTGCAGACTCTTTGCAACATTCTCACCACTCGTCTTCCCAACTATTTCCATGTTGTCCAGAAAAAGGGGTGACAGTCCAGTTCATTGACTGGCTCAGACCCCAGATGAGTGGGCTGTCTTGTAAAGACAAGATGGAAAGGCTCTAGACAGTGAAGAATATTATCTAAGTGTACAAAGCAACCTTGATCAATTGGGCCAATGGGCTGAGGAGTGGCAGATGGAGTTTAATTTAGACAAATGTGAGGTGTTGCATTTTGCTGAGATGAACAAGGGCAGAACTTACACCGCTAATGATAGAGCCCTGGGGAGTGCTGTCAAACAGAGCCCTGGATGGAGGAGTGGGTGGTTTCAGGTGCATATTTCCATGAAGGTGTCGTCACAGGTAGACAAGGTGGTGAAGAAGACATGTGGCACGTTTGCCTTCATTGATTAGAACACTGAGTACAGGAGTTGGGACATCATGTTGAGCTTGTACAGATGTTGGTGAGGCCACTTTTGGAATACTGTCTACAGTTCTGGTTGCCCTGCTATAGGAAGGGTACTATTAAATTGGAGAGGGTTCAGAGAGGATTTACAAGAATGTTACCAAGTTTGAAGGGTTTGAGTTAAAAGGAGAGGCTGGATAGACTATGATTTTTCTTTTCCCTGGAGCATTGGAGGCTGAGAGGTGACCTTTTAGAGGCTTATAAAATCATGAGGGGCATAGATAAGGTGAATAACTGAGGTCTTTTCCCAAAGGTAGGTCAGTCCAAAATTAGAGGGCATAAGTTTAAGATGAGAGGGGAAAGATTTAAAAGGGACTTGAGGGGCAACATTTCACACAGAGGGTGGAGTGTATATGCAACTATCTAAATTCAACTCCATCTGCCACTCCCCATCCCACTGGCCCAATTGATCAAGATTCCTTTGTAATCTTAGATATCCTTGGAGCATTTCAGCAATGAAGAGAGGCTGGATAAGCTTGGGTTATATACTTTAGAGCAGAGAAGGTTGAGGGGAGACATGACGGAGGTGTGTAGGATTATGAGCAGCATGGACAGGATGGATAGGAAGCAGCTGTTCGCCATAGTCGAAAGGTCAATTAAAAGGAGGGGGAGCGCATAATTTTAAAGTGAAAGGCAGGAGGTTTGGAGGGGGATTTGAAGATTGTTTCATCCAGAGGGTGGTGGGGATCTGGAATGCACTGCCTGGAAAGGTAGTTGAGGTGGGCAACCACAAAGTGCTTGGATGAGCACTCCAAGTGTCATAACATTCAAGGTTGTGGGCCTAGTGCGGGAAAGTGGGACAATGTAAGATTTAGTGTTGCTTTGGCAGGATAGACTCAATGGGCCAAAGGGACTCTTCTGTACTGTATGATTCAAAATGTCTCCAGTGTTTCCATCAGCAATCCAGAGAAATATGCACATTGTCTACCACAGATTGTAACATCAGATACTTACCTTGAACCTGAATCTTAACATTTTGTGATTTCCACCGGTTAATTTTACAATAGTACCAGCCACTGTCATCGGTGTCGTTTACTTTAATACTGTACAAACATTCATGACTTTTGGACTTCATTGAATGGATCTTCTTGCCTTTTCCGTAAAAGGCATATTCCCTCTCCCATTGGGATTTGTATTTGCCCCGACAATTCAGTTCCAGTGTCTCTCCTTCCAAAGGTGAAACTGGGACAACATGGAAAGCTACATATCCATCTAAGAATGAAAGCAAAGTTGCATCAGTACAGCTTACTATAGGGTTTCATTAAAGTGGGAACTGCTCCTAAACCATTTGCTTTCACATTGTTTCTGGTATGGACTTTCAAGTATTAATCTTGCCAACCTATCCCCAATATTTTCTACACTCCAGTCTGAATAAACAAATCAATAACATTAATTTGCATTCAACTTACCCGGAGTATTGAGGACAGTTTATGTCTCCTTACCTGAGGAGGTACCCCAAGACCATAAGAAATTGGAACTGGAGGAGGCCATTTGGTCCCCTTTCAGGTTGTAAACTGTCACATAATATAAGTCAGAACACTGCTCTGTCAGCTGAAATCAAATGTGAATAGAGATGAGGAGAAGCAGATGTACAGATATAATATGAGAGTTGATATGAAACTGAAGAAATGATAAGAGTAAAAGGCAATAATAGAAATTATTACAAATAGCAGCAGGAGGCAGACAAGAGTGCACAGTCAGTGAGATAATATGGATGTAAGTCTAACAGTTCTTACTGACCTTGTTTGATACTCTCAGACCTCAGAGCAAAGGATTCTATAGGCAATACTGATCATAAGTTATAGTCGATGCAAATCAGTTGGTTGGATATGAATAGGGATTGATGTGTTGATAGAGAAGGCAAGGGCACAACTCTCTGGGTGAAGGCATTTTTCCTCATTTCAGTCCTACCCTGTCTCCTTTAGACTGTGGCCCCCTGGTTCTGGACATCTCCCCACCCTCATGGGTCAACAGGAACATCCTTCCTGTACTTACCCTGTCTAGTCATAGAGTTATACAGCATGGAAACAGACCCTTTGGTCCAACCAGTCCACGCTGACCTTGTTCTAAAGTTAAACTAATCCCACCTGCCTGCATTTGTCCCATATATCTCCAAACCCTTCCTATTCTTGAACAAGTCCAAATGTTTGTTTTTAAAGTTATAACTGTACCTGCATCCACCACTTACTCCAGCAGTTCATTCTGTACACGAACTACTCTATGTAAAAATTGCCCCTCATGTTCTGTTTAAATGTTTCTCCTTTCACCTTAAAATTATGTCCCCTAGTCTTGAATCCCCCTTGCTAGGGAAAAGATATCTGCCATTCACCTTATCTATACCCTTCATGATTTTATAAACTCTATAAGGTCACCCCTCAACCTCATACTCTGCAGTGAAAGAACTCCCAGCCTATCCAGCCTCTCCTTATATTGCAAACCCTCCATTTCCGGCAACATCCTGGTAAATCTTTTTTGAACCTTCTCCTGTTTAATAATATCCTTCCCATAGCAGGGTGACTAGAACTGCACACTGTACGCTAGAAGAGGCCTCACCAACATCCTGAACAACCTCACCATGATTTCCCAACTCCTAGACTCAAAGGTCTGAATAATGAAGGCAAGTTTGCTAAATGCTTTCTTATCCACCCTACCTGTGACACAAATTTCAAAAAATTATGTACCTGAAACCCTAGATCTCTCTGCTTTACAACACTATCCAGGGCCCTACCATTAATTATATAAGTCTTCTCCTTTGTTTGTTTTACAAAAATACAGTACCTCACATTTATCCAAACCAATCTGCCACTTCATAGAATCCCTACAGTGTGGAAACAGGCCCTTTGGCCCTACAAGTCCACACTGAACCTCAGAGCATCATACCCAGACCCATTCCCCTATAACCCACCTAATCTACACCTCCCTGAACACTATGGGCAATTTAGCTTAGCCAATCCACCCAGCCTGCACATCTTTGGACTGTTGGAGGAAACCAGAGCACCCGGAAAAAACCCACGCAGACATGGGGAGAATGTGCAAGCTCCACACAGACAGTCACCTGAGGCTGGAATTGAACCTTGGACCCTGGTGCTGTAAGGCAGCAGTGCTAACCACTGTGCCCTTATCAGCCGGTTGACCCAATTGATCAAGATCCCTTTATATCTTAGCTAACCTCATACAATTGCAAAAGCAACTTTGGTGTCGTCTGCAAACTTACTAACCATGCCTGCTGTATTCTCATCCAAATCATTTATATAAATGATAAAAAAAAATGTACTAATCCCTATGGAAGACTGCTGGTCACAGGCCTCCAGTCTGAAAAAATAAACCTCCACCACCACCCCCTGTCTCCTACCATGAAGCCAATTCTGTAACCACTTGGCAACCTCACCCTGAATCCCATTTGATCTAACTTTATTAATGAGGCGACCATGTCGAACCTTGTAAAAGGCTTTTCTAACATCAAGGTAAACAATGTCTACCACTCTGCCCACATCAATCTTTTTGTGAGACATGATTTTACATAGAACATAGAACATAGAACAGTACAGCACAGTACAGGTCCTTCGGCCCACGATGTTGTGCTGAACTTTTACCCTAAACCTAAAGTCTATTTAAGATCTACCCCTACCTTATACTATCATCCATATGCCTATCTAATAGCCGCTTAAATGCCCCTAATGAAGCCAAATCCACTACCCTCTTCGGCAATGCATTCCACGCCCCTACCACTCTCTGACGTCTCCCCTATATCTACCTCCACTCACTTTAAAACAATGCCCCCTCGTAATAGCTACCTCCACCCCAGGAAAATGTCTCTGGCTGTCCACTCTATCTATACCTCTGATCATTTTGTACACCACTATCAAGTCACCTCTCATCCTTTGTCGTTCGAAAGAGAAAAACCCTAGCTTGCTCAACCTTTCCTTGTAAGACCTTCCCTCCATTCCAGGCAACATCCTGGTAAATCTCCTCTGCACCTTTTCCAACACTTCCACATCTTTCTTGTAATGAGGTGACCAAAACTGGACACAATACTCCAGATGTGGCCGAACCAGGCTTTTGTATAGCTGGAGCATAACTTCATGGCTCTTGAACTCAATCCCTTTATTAATGAAAGCTAACACACCATAAGCCTTCTTAACAACTCTATCCACCAGGGTGGCAGCTTTCAGGGAACCGTGAACATGAACACCAAGATCCCTCTGCTCCTCCACACTGCCAAGAATCTTTCCATTAACCCTGTATTCTGCTTTCAAGTTTGTCCTTCCAAAATGAATCACCTCACACTTTTCAGGTTTAAACTCCATCGGCCACTTCTCAGCCTAGCTCTGCACCCTATCAATGTCCCTTTGTAACCGAGAACAGCCCTCCGCACTATCCACAACTCAACCCACCTTGTTATCATCTGCGAACTTATTAATCCACCCTTCCACTCCTACATCCAAATCATTTACAAAAATCACAAATAGAAGAGGACCCAGAACTGATCCTTGAGGTACATCACTCGTAACTGAGCACCATGTTGAACATTTTCCATCCACTACCACCCTTTGTCTTCTAAGGGCCAGCCAATTCTGAATCCAATCTGCCACATTTCCCCCTATCCCATGCCTCCTTACTTTCTGCATGAGCCTACCATGGGGAACCTTATCAAATGCCTTACTTAAATCCATGTATGCCACATCTACTGCTCTACCTTCATCCATGTGTTTGGTTACCTCTTCAAAGAATTCAATAAGGTTTGTGAGGCATGATCTATCCCTCACAAATCCACGCTGACTATCACGAATCAAACTGTGCCTATCCAAGTGATCATAAATCCTATCTCTCAGAGCCCTTTCCAATAATTTGCCGCCCTTTCCAATAATTTGCCCACCACTGGAGTAAGACTAACTGGCCAGTAATTTCCGGGGTTATCCCTATTCCCTTTTTTGAACAAGGGAAAGGCGTTTGCCATTCTCTAATCTTCTGGCATTATACCCATGGACAGTGAGGACAAAAAGATCATCGCCAAAGCCCCTGCGATCTCTTCCCTCGCTTCCCATTGAATCCTTGGATAATTCCCATCAGGCATGGGGGATTTATCTATCTTCAGGTTCCTCAAAATTTCTAGTACATCTTCCTTACTAACATCTACCTCCT